GCGAAAAATCCCGTACGAAGAAATTATCTGCAGTGTTGAGGATTGTCTGTTTAAGAATAATATCGGTAAGGAAGATTTGGAGGCCATACGTCAAGATATTTCGTCCTTGTTACGTCGTAGTTCAGTGCCGAAACCAAACCTTCCCAAAGACGAATTTACAGCGCTAAATAACTTACGGAACAGACCAGAACTCACGATTCTTCGCGCTGATATAGGAAATGCTACGGTAGTAACGCGTCGGAATATAATTTTAAAATACAGCAACTTTTATCGGACGAAAGTACATATAAAAAGGTCAAAACAGACCCTACAATTAACACGCTTAAAACAACTAGCGATTTAATAAAGAAATACCCCGAAAAATTAAATCTCGACGTGAATTCGCTAATACCATCATGTGCCAAACCACCGAGGTTGTATGGGTTACCGAAGATACACAAACCAAACGCTCCACTACGTCCCATAGTGAGCCAGATCGATTCACCAACTTATAAGCTGGCACAATACTTAGCAAAAATACTATCACCACTAAGAGGACATACCAGAGCACACACAAAGGATTCATACCATTTTGTGAGTGAGATAAAAGACCTACATCTCGCTAACAATGAAACTATGGTCAGTTTTGATGTTCAGTCACTATTTACATGCCTACCTATTGTGGACTGCATCTCAATTGTAACTAGGAAGCTAGAAGAAAATAACATGCCTCAAGAATATGCAATACTACTTGAACATTGCCTCACATCTGGCTATCTATTGTGGAAGGAGGAGTTCTACAAGCAAGTAGATGGTGTGGCGATGGGCTCACCTGTGTCTCCCATAATCGCCGACATATTCATGGAGGACTTTGAGGAGAAAGCCCTTCTTACTGCTCCTGTAAATCCAAGGTTCTACAAGCGGTACGTAGACGACACTTTCACAATTTTACCATCTGACAAAGTAACTGCATTTTTAGACCACCTTAACTCCATAAACTCTAAAATACAATTCACAATGGAGTTAGAGGCAAATAATTCGTTAGCTTTCCTAGATGTTTTAGTCATCCGAAATCCTGATAACACTATTGGTCACACTGTGTATAGGAAAAAGACCCATACCAACCGATATTTAAATGGTGAATCTTACCATCATCCTTCACAGTTAGCTACCGTGGTTAAATCTTTGTTTCAGAGAGCACGAGGGATCTGTGACAGAAAACATCTGGCCGCGGAGCTTCAGCACGTCAAGCAAGTATTGCAAGACAAAAAGCTTCGGGTCCCGCGCCTACGTCACAGTGAACGAGTGAAGCCGGCCACAGTCGAGCGCGCGCCTGCTCTACTACCATATGTTAGAGGAGTCACGGACAAGATTGGCTACATCTTGAAGCGAGCGTCCATTAAGACATACTACAAGCCGCTGAAGAAGATTAGTCAATTTTTACCATCCATCAAATGTAATATTCCTCTACAAGATGCAGGTGTGTATAAGCTAGATTGTGAATGTGGTCTCTCTTACATAGGTCAAACAAAGAGATCTATAAAAACCCGCGTGAAGGAACATATAGCTGATGTGAAGCACCGACGCTCCGGGAAGTCTGCAGTCTGCGAACATGTTCAAGATCGTCCCCACCATTACATTAGATTTGATAAACCACAAATTCTCGCAAAAGAACACCGATTCCTACCAAAGATGATACGCGAAGCTATTGAAATCAAAAAACATCCAAATTTCAATGGAGAAGATGGTTGGGTGCTACCATCTGCTTGGGATCCTATAATTAACAAAATTAAACCCAAACCCAAGCATACCACTGCAAGACTTCATGATACTATAAGCTCGTTTTGCGTAAATCGGACCAAAAATTAATATTAAAAAACTGAATGTAGCCGGACTAACTATGACATTGGGACGTCAAACATCTCAGTCCCCCCCCGTGACCATGGGCGCTGTAAAGCACCCGAAACGTCGGGATAATAATAAAAATAAATTAAAGTAATTAAACGCGATAAAATCCGTAAATAATAGTTTTATTCAATGTGTAGTGTTCGCGTAAATTTAAGAAATCTTTATGTGCACCAGTACGGACTGGTAATAGCAAATAAAATTCGCCGAATAGAAGATCTTAAAACCAAGCGCGCAAGATAAATAACATCTTTAAATTTCTTGAAGAGATGCAGAGACCATAATCTCATTCCTACGTGTGTCAAAATATTAACAAAGAAGGACATTCTAGGAAGCGCTAAGATCTTAAATCAGGCAAGTAAAAAGTTGTTACGGACGGTGATTCAGCAGAAACGGTTCGATTTACATTTCATAAACAACACCATAGACAATTTGTCCAGTGAACTAAAGACAATTTTAACGACATTTGATTTTAATAATTGCATCGAAACTTTAAACAAACGAGAAACATCAAAATACAATGAATGCAAAAAGAAACAAATAGGAAAATACCAAAAATTAACGATCAAATCAAATGCCAAACATCCAAGTCAACGCCAGAACAATAAACAACCGTTGACCATAGACACAAACTATAAACAACGCACTGTCTATAATTTGTCAAAACATACACTGGACGAACCGACAATGAAAGTATTAGCGAAGGGAATGAACTTCGCGTTAACTCCGCGAAAAATCCCGTACGAAGAAATTATCTGCAGTGTTAAGGATTGTCTGTTTAAGAATAATATCGGTAAGGAAGATTTAGAGGCCATACGTCAAGATATTTCGTCCTTGTTACGACGTATTTCAGTGCCGAAACCAAACCTTCTTTTCAATATCATTACTTGAAAGTAATATATAATCTAAAAAAAGATGCAGGTGGTTCAACCTCATCTCGATGCCGTGCCCAAGATAGAAACCAGACAACAGACATGACATGTGCACAGCAGCCATCAGTGCGTCTGCCTACCAAACAACAGTACCCAGTAAGAGCATCCCTAGTGTTAGCAATTGATGGGTTGGTGTCAACTAGTACCTTAAAAACGGCAAGGCTCCGGGCGGGGATGGAATTACAGCGGAGCTTCTGATAGCGGGTGGAACACCGGTACTTGAAGTCCTTCAGAAGCCCTTCAATTCCGTCCTCCATGGTGGCACTACTCCGGAGGCGTGGAGCAGAAGCGCGGTGGTGTTGTTCTTTAAGAAAGGCGAAAACGCTCTCTTGAAGAACTACAGACCGATTTCCCTTCTGAGCTGCGTCTACGTGCTGTTTTCGAAAGTCATTACGAATCGTCTCGCACGCAGACTCGACGACTTCCAGCCTCCCGAACAAGCCAGTTTCCGAAAAGGCTTCCGTACCATAGACCACATACATACCCTTCGGCAAATTGTACAGAAGTTCGAAGAGTACAATCTGCCACTTTGCCTGGCGTATGTGGACTATGAGAAAGCCTTTGATTCCGTCGAAATTTGGGCGGTGCTACAGTCTCTTCAGCGGTGCCTAGTTGACTGTCGGTATATTGAAGTGCTGAAGTGTTTGTACAGTAGGGCTACGATGGCTATCCGACTCAAAAGTCGAAATTTCAAAGCTTTATAATAAAAATGAAAATAATGTTTGATATTTTAAGATTACTATGTTTGATATATTAAGATTATTTGACAAAGTCAAAGAAATACAAATAGTAACCCATAAAAACAAGCATACAGTTAACAGCTGCCATATATATAATTAATTCATACTGTTAATACTATATTTGATGATCTTATTAAATAAGAATACGTATAAACTAATGTCAACAGATTGCTCAAAAGTGTCGCAACATCCAGACAAACCCGTAAGGGTTTTGTGATGTTTAAATTGCGATTTTATGTATTTTTTCTTATATTAAATAAATTCAAAAAAAAAAAAAATTACAAGTACGTTACAAACTTTTTAAAGGGAAATTAAGCCTTTCCTTCTAAGAGAACGCAGAACTAAATTTCAATCGATATATCGATCGATCTCTCTCGATATCTTAATACGCTCGTCGTCGATATATCGAATTTCAACGATGTAGGAAACGAAGGGTCCTGAAATTGATTAAATACGATAAATTTTTTAGCTGTCTTCTGTGGATTAAAACAAACTAGATTTAATATCTCGTAAACTAAGACTTTGTTTAACAAAGACTTCACTTCAGAAACAAGTGTGTTATGGAACTCTACGACGTGTTCCTGAGAAATATTAGTCAGGCCTAGAGATGGGCAAATGCCCGGGCATTTTTGGCAAATTGGGAAAATTCGTAATAAGCGCCGATAAATTTCTGTCCTTGGGCATTTATCTGGGCATAAATTTTTGTACCAAAATTGATTTACAAGATTTACGTTAGCATTGGAAGCTGGTCTAACTTGAGTTTAGTTAAGATTAATTATTTAAAGGTGTTATTTTATGAATTTGCTTACTTTTTTTTAAAACATATTTAAATATACATAACAAACATATTTTACAAACACAAAAACATATTTTACAAAACCATGTTTACGACTTAAATGTTACGAATTACGCCGCAGCGGGAAAATATACTACTGAGTGAGTAAGAGGCGCGGGACGAGGGATGCGTCCAGGCAACACACCGCGCCGCCATTTTGTTGTTAGTTCGCCTGTGTCAGTTGCAGTTACCGCACGTGCATTCTATTTGTGTCCATTGTTTGTTGTATTCTAGTTCCGGTTAACCAATTTATGCAATTATTAGTATTAAGTGTGTGATAATTTACTGCTACTTGTAAGGTAAGTCAGTCTTTCTTTTTTTGTGTACCAATCAGATATTCCGAGAAAAATTAATAAATATTTAATACCCTCTGCATATTTTTGATATACAACAACAAATAAGAAATCTTGTAAAAAATGGTTGGAAAATAAGTTACAAATAAACTTACTTATTACTAAAGTGCTTGCTTTATAAAAAATATTTGTTGTTTTAGCGCCATGGGAAGATCAAAAAATCATACTATATGGAGGCACTATCATCAATTACCAGACAATTCCGTAAAGTGCTCTTTTTGTGAAAAGCATTATAAAAAAGGGGCATGTAATAAAAATGAAGCAACATCTTCTGACCTGCTTTAAATGCCCACAAGCCGTAAAAAAACAAATTAACGATGTCAATAACTCACAATCCAACTTAACACCAGAATCCACAACCACTTCATTGAACTCGGAGAACACATCAACCGAGAAAATTAGAGATTTAAGAGGTGTTTGTGAAGGTTAAATTAATCACGGGATTACCACTAGCAATGGCAGAACACATCTAGCAATAGCAGAACACCCATTGTGGGTAAAATTTTTTGAAAAATTAAATTTTAAATTGCCTAATAGAAAGTCTATTGCAACTAAATATCTAGAAAAAATATATAAAGAGATGAATAAAGAAATCAGTAATGATTTAAAAGCATCAAATTTTCTACACTTGCAATGCGACGGCTGGACTGATGTTTGCAATGAAGGCATTATAATTTTTTTAATATCCAAGCCAGAACCTGTTTTTATAAAAAGTCTGAATACACTTCATAATCGGCACACAAGTGAGTATTTAAGTTGTGAAACTGAAAAAAGTAATGAAATCTTACGGAGTGAGTAAATTTGTGGTCCTTATTGGAGACAACGCACGAAATGTCCAAAAGTCATTCGAAATGATAAAAAACAAATACCCACATATTGTATCACTGAACTGTGCTGCTCACACTCTGAATTTATTGTGCGTTGATGTAATAAAAGCACCCGAAGTTAAAGATTTCATAGATCTCGCAATAGATGTTATTAAAAATATTAAAAAAAGTCAATTCTTAAGTGCTTTATTAAGTAAAATTAGAAAAGAAAAAGCTCTAGTCAGAGTCTAAAATTATCCTGTAAGACAAGATGGGGCAGTCATGTCAGTGCACTAAAAAGTCCGAAAATTAATAAAGCTGCACTTACAGACTTTAGCTGTTAATTAAAACCTTCAGCCAGCGCCCAATATTAAATCTACACTTTTAGATGAAGATTTCTGGTCTATGATAGAACAATCCATCAGTATTCTTGAGCCTATAGCAGAAAGTATCTTTAAACTAGAAGGCAACGAATTCAACATACATGAAGTATTTATCATCATCATCATCATTGCAGTCCTTCACAAATCCACTGCTGAACATAGGCCTCCCCCAAGTAATGCCACAAAGCACGGTCCTGAGCTACCTGCATCCATCGACTTCCTGCATGTCTTACCAGGTCGTTACTCCATCTAGTGGAGGGTCGCCCTACACTATGCCTACCGGTACGAGGCTGCCACTCGAGAACCTTTCTTCCCCATCGGTTATCGGTTCTTCGAGCTATATGGCCGGCCCATTGCCATTTCAGCTTACTAATCCGTTGGGCTATCTCGGTCACTCTGGTTTTACTGCGGATATCCTTATTTCTGAGTCTATCACGCAGTGAAACTCCGAGCATAGCCCTCTCCATAGCTCGCTGAGCGACCTTGAGCGTCCTCACGGCCTCCTAACGGCCAGCGGTGAAGGACCACGTCTCAGATCCGTAAGTCATCACTGGCAACACGCACTGGTTATACACTTTAGTTTTCAGAGATTGAGGTATACCTGACGAGAAGATGTGTTGTAATTTCCCGAACGCTGCCCAGCCGAGTTGAATCCGTCGATTGACCTCTCGGTCGAAGTTGGACTTACCTAGTCGGACTATTTCTCCCAGGTAAACAAAAAAGTATTTATGGTGCTAAGAAACCTGAAATCAAAGTTAGAATTTGTGTTACCAACAATCACAATGCTGGATGACGACAGCAAGGAGAACATAAAAACTTATATTGAAAAACGAGTTAAGCAGTGCATAAAACCTGCGTATATGCGCAATACATTATGCGGCCTACATGTTTGATTCTAAATCTGCAGGCAATGAACTAAATCAGGCGGAAGAAACTGAAGCCATGGAATTAATCTATAACCTCGCTGAGCATTGCAACATTGACTGTCTTGTTGACCTGGCTAAATATAACGGTAAAGAAGGTCTTTGGAGCAAACCATTTACTTGGAAGGTCGCTGAGAAAGTAAATCACATTTTATGGTGGAAGGGGATATGAGGCTCAAGTCAGTTAAGTAAAGTTGCACTTAGAGTATTGACTACACCCTGCACGTCAGCAGCCACCGAACGGTCGTTCAGCACACAGGGATTTATACATAGTGCTAAAAGAAACCGTTTCACATCAGAAAGAGCGGCGAAAATAACTTTCTTATCGTATAATTGGAACTTATTAAATAAAGGTGAAAACATTAATCGTGTTTACAGTGAAGATACTGTTCCAGAAAGGTCCGACATGGAAGACACAGATGATGATATGTTGCACGATGCTGCAATGGAGGGTCACATGCAAGAGGATATGGAATCTTCTCTCAGGGAGGATATATGGGAAGCTATGGAACCAGTAGCTTCAACTTCACAACAAACTAATCATATTGAATTCGTAAATATTAGCGAATGTTTATATGATACCGATAGTGATTAGGCTAATGGAACTTGTAATACAATAAAAAATAATTTAATTATTATACCGGTCGGGTGTTAACAATGATTCTATGCTTTAGTGTGATTTTAATTCGAACTATAATAATATTGATTTTTAGAATTTTTACAATATTGTTCCTACTAATGCTAGAAGTCATATTTTCATTATTTGATTAGTACATAATATTGTTTTATTTTATTAAAAGATTTTCACATGACAAAGTATATCAATGTTATTATTTTAAAATAAAAACGTGTACAATAATAAAAATTTCTTGTTCTATTTCTTTAAAAAGTACAATTTTACGTTAAAAATTTAATTTGACCACGTTTTAGTATTACTTTTTTTTGCCCTGTAATTGAACATATATTGGGCAAAAATAAATTTATGCCCAAAATGTCGGGTTTTTGCCAATTTTTTCCCGCCAGGCAGAAACAAATTGCCCATCTCTAGTCAGGCCGTAATAACGCATCACTAGCGCATTCGTCTACACATCAATGAGGTTTTATGTATGAATTATGTGACATATCATTAATATGCAAAACGAACAGAGTAAGGGATAGCGCACGGCTTTGTGGAACACCATCATTCACAGATTTGAAACTTGAGGAAGTACCGTCGGCAATACCTTAACCGCACTCTTCTGCGAGAAAACTGATATCTTTCACCAGTTGAAAAATTTCTCGGGAAGTCTGGTAGGGAATCTTTTGAAGGAGCGCTTTGTTCCATACCCGATTAAAGGCTTTCGCTAGGAATTAACTATCTGCTATGGATATAGGTAATAGTAAACTATAATTGAATAATAATAAGGTATATTTTACAATACGCATATAGAAATGTAGTAGATACATATATATTTCAAGTGCCATTTTTATAGAATAAAATAAGTGGATACTGGAGCCTACAGACTTGTACATGTACGGGTATGGAACAAAGCGCTCCTTCAAAAGATTCCCTACCAGACTTCCCGAGAAATTTTTCAACTGGTGAAAGATATCAGTTTTCTCGCAGAAGAGTGCGGTTAAGGTATTGCCGACGGTACTTCCTCAAGTTTCAAATCTGTGAATGATGGTGTTCCACAAAGCCGTGCCCTATCGCTTACTCTGTTCGTTTTGCATATTAATGATATGTCACATAATTCATACATAAAACCTCATTGATGTGTAGACGAATGCGCTAGTGATGCGTTATTACGGCCTGACTAGAGATGGGCAATTTGTTTCTGCCTGGCGGGAAAAATTGGCAAAAAACCCGACATTTTGGGCATAAATTTATTTTTGCCCAATATATGTTCAATTACAGGGCAAAAAAAGTAATACTAAAACGTGGTCAAATTGAATTTTTAACGTAAAATTGTACTTTTTAAAGAAATAGAACAAGAAATTTTTATTATTGAACACGTTTTTATTTTAAAATAATAACATTGATATACTTTGTTATGTGAAAATCTTTTAATAAAATAAAACAATATTATGTACTAATCAAATAATGAAAATATGACTTCTAGCATTAGTAGGAACAATATTGTAAAAATTCTAAAAATCAATATTATTATAGTTCGAATTAAAATCACACTAAAGCATAGAATCATTGTTAACACCCGACCGGTATAATATTTAAAGTATTTTTTTATTGTATTACAAGTTTCATTAGCCTAATCACTATCGGTATCATATAAACATTCGCTAATATTTACGAATTCAATATGATTAGTTTGTTGTGAAGTTGAAGCTACTGGTTCCATAGCTTCCCATATATCCTCCCTGAGAGAAGATTCCATATCCTCTTGCATGTGACCCTCCATTGCAGCATCGTGCAACATATCATCATCTGTGTCTTCCATGTCGGACCTTTCTGGAACAGTATCTTCACTGTAAACACGATTAATGTTTTCACCTTTATTTAATAAGTTCCAATTATACGATAAGAAAGTTATTTTCGCCGCTCTTTCTGATGTGAAACGGTTTCTTTTAGCACTATGTATAAATCCCTGTGTGCTGAACGACCGTTCGGTGGCTGCTGACGTGCAGGGTGTAGTCAATACTCTAAGTGCAACTTTACTTAACTGACTTGAGCCACATATCCCCTTCCACCATAAAATGTGATTTACTTTCTCAGCGGCCTTCCAAGTAAATGGTTTGCTCCAAATACCTTCTTTACCGTTATATTTAGTCAGGTCAACAAGACAGTCAATGTTGCAATGCTCAGCGAGGTTATAGATTAATTCCATGGCTTCAGTTTCTTCCGCCTGATTTAGTTCATTGCCTGCAGATTTAGGATCAAACATGTAGGCCGCATAATGTATTGCGCATATACGCAGGTTTTATGCACTGCTTAACTCGTTTTTCAATATAAGTTTTTATGTTCTCCTTGCTGTCGTCATCCAGCATTGTGATTGTTGGTAACACAAATTCTAACTTTGATTTCAGGTTTCTTAGCACCATAAATACTTTTTGTTTACCTGGGACAAATAGTCCGACTAGGTAAGTCCAACTTCGACCGAGAGGTCAATCGACGGATTCAACTCGGCTGGGCAGCGTTCGGGAAATTACGACACATCTTCTCGTCAGGTATACCTCAATCTCTGAAAACTAAAGTGTATAACCAGTGCGTGTTGCCAGTGATGACTTACGGATCTGAGACGTGGTCCTTCACCACTGGCCGTTAGGAGGCCGTGAGGACGCTCAAGGTCGCTCAGCGAGCTATGGAGAGGGCTATGCTCGGAGTTTCACTGCGTGATAGATTCAGAAATAAGGATATCCGCAGTAAAACCAGAGTGACCGACATAGCCCAACGGATTAGTAAGCTGAAATGGCAATGGGCCGGCCATATAGCTCGAAGGACCGATAACCGATGGGGAAGAAAGGTTCTCGAGTGGCAGCCTTGTACCGGTAGGCATAGTGTAGGGCGACCCCCCACTAGATGGAGTAACGCCCTGGTAAGACATGCAGGAAGTCGATGGATGCAGGTAGCTCAGGACCGTGCTTTGTGGCATTACTTGGGGGAGGCCTATGTTCAGCAGTGGATTTGTAAAGGACTGCAATGATGATGATGATGATAAATACTTCATGTATGTTGAATTCGTTGCCTTCTAGTTTAAAGATACTTTCTGCTATAGGCTCAAGAATACTGATGGATTGTTCTATCATAGACCAGAAATCTTCATCTAAAAGTGTAGATTTAATATCGGGCGATGGTTTTAATTAACAGCTAAAGTCTGTAAGTGCAGCTTTATTAATTTTCGGACTTTTTTAGTGCACTGACATGACTGCCCCATCTTGTCTTACAGGATAATTTTAGACTCTGACTAGAGCTTTTTTCTTTTCTAATTTTACTTAATAAAGCACTTAAGAATTTACTTTTTTTAATATTTTTAATAACATCTATTGCGAGATCTATGAAAGCTTTAACTTCGGGTGCTTTTATTACATCAACGCACAATAAATTCAGAGTGTGAGCAGCACAGTTCAATGGCACAATATGTGGGTATTTTTTTTATCATTTCGAATGACTTTTGGACATTTCGTGCGTTGTCTCCAATAAGGACCACAAATTTACTCACTCCGTAAGATTTCATTACTTTTTCAGTTTCACAACTTAAATACTCACTTGTGTGCCGATTATGAAGTGTATTCAGACTTTTTTATAAAAACAGGTTCTGGCTTGGATATTAAAAAATTTATAATGCCTTCATTGCAAACATCAGCCCAGCCGTCGCATTGCAAGTGTAGAAAATTTGATGCTTTTAAATCATTACTGATTTCTTTATTCATCTCTTTATATATTTTTTTCTAGATATTTAGTTGCAATAGACTTTCTATTAGGCAATTTAAAATTTAATTTTTCAAAAAATTTTACCCACAATGGGTGTTCTGCCATTGCTAGAGGTGTTCCCGTGATTAATTTAACCTTCACAAACACCTCTTAAATCTCTAATTTTCTCGGTTGATGTGTTCTCCGAGTTCAATGAAGTGGTTGTGGATTCTGGTGTTAAGTTGGATTGTGACTTATTGACATCGTTAATTTGTTTTTTTACGGCTTGTGGGCATTTAAAGCAGGTCAGAAGATGTTGCTTCATTTTTATTACATGCCCCTTTTTATAATGCTTTCACAAAAAGAGCACTTTACGGAATTGTCTGGTAATTGATGATAGTGCCTCCATATAGTATAATTTTTTGATCTTCCCATGGCGCTAAAACAACAAATATTTTTTATAAAGCAAGCACTTTAGTAATAAGTAAGTTTATTTTTAACTTATTTTCCAACCATTTTTTACAAGATTTCTTATTTGTTGTTGTATATCAAAAATATGCAGAGGGTATTAAACGTTTATTAATTTTTCTCGGAATATCTGATTGGTACACAAAAAAAGAAAGACTGACTTACCTTACAAGTAGCAGTAAATTATCACACACTTAATACTAATAATTGCATAAATTGGTTAACCGGAACTAGAATACAACAAACAATGGACACAAATAGAATGCACGTGCGGTAACTGCAACTGACACAGGCGAACTAACAACAAAATGGCGGCGCGGTGTGTTGCCTGGACGCATCCCTCGTCCCGCGCCTCTTACTCACTCAGTAGTATATTTTCCCGCTGCGGCGTAATTCGTAACATTTAAGTCGTAAACATGGTTTTGTAAAATATGTTTTTGTGTTTGTAAAATATGTTTGTTATGTATATTTAAATATGTTTTAAAAAAAGTAAGCAAATTCATAAAATAACACCTTTAAATAATTAATCTTAACTAAACTCAACAAGTTAGACCAGCTTCCAATGCTAACATAAATCTTGTAAATCAATTTTGGTACAAAAATTTATGCCCAGATAAATGTCCAAGGACAGAAATTTTTCGGGGCTTATTAGGAATTTTCCCAATTTGCCAAAAATGCCCGGGCATTTGCCCATCTCTAGGCCTGACTAATATTTCTCAGGAATACGTCGTCGAGTTCCATAACACACTTGTTTCTGAAGTGAAGTCTTTGTTAAACAAAGTCTTAGTTTACGAGATATTAAATCTAGTTTGTTTTAATCCACAGAAGACAGCTAAAAAAATTATCGTATTTAATCAATTTCAGGACCCTTCGTTTGCTACATCGTTGAAATTCGATATATCGACGACGAGCGTATTAAGATATCGAGAGAGATCGATCGATATATCGATTGAAATTTAGTTCTGCGTTCTCTTAGAAGGATAGGCTTAATTTCCCCTTAAAAAGTTTGTAACGTACTTGTAATTAATTATATATATGGCAGCTGTTAACTGTATGCTTGTTTTTATGGGTTACTATTTGTATTTCTTTGACTTTGTAAAATAATTTTAAAATATCAAACATAGTAGTCTTAAAATATAAAACATTATTTTCATTTTTATTATAAAGCTTTGAAATTTCGACTTTTGAGTCGGATAGCCATCGTAGCCCTACTGTACAAACACTTCAGCACTTCAATATACCGACAGTCAACTAGGCACCGCTGAAGAGACTGTAGCACCGCCCAAATTTCGACGGAATCAAGGAATGAAGTTTTTAGTTTTAATTTGTGTAAAGTAAATTAAAGTGTTAATTTAGGTAATTTTATCGGCAATTTTTATTGTCACGAACTTCAAGCTCGTAACAATTGGTGTCAGAAGTGGGATAAAATCATGCCGATTTTACCTAAGGAGGAAACGGAGGGTGTCCGTACCCGAAGTCAACGCCAGCAGGAGACGGACCAAAGAAGATTTGGTGGTGCAACGCCGCAGACGGTGGGGTCAGCCGCCGGCTGCAGGCCCGCCAGTAGCTCCTGAGGGTCAGCCGCCGGCTGCAGGCCCGTCAGTAGCTCCTACATCTGCAGCAACTGACTTAGGTGCTCTGATGGCGATGCTACAGGAGCAGCTGCAGCGCGGACGAGAGGAACAGGCCGGTCTGTTGAAGGAGAAGCAGGAGGAACAGGCTCGCCGACAGGAGGAACAGGCTCGCCGACAGGAGGAACAGGCCCGTCGGTTGGAAGAGCAGCTCAAGCGCGATAAGGAAAAGCAGATGCTCCTCATGAAGGACATTCACGCTACCTTCGGGAAAGAGATAAGGGAGGTGAAGGATAAGGTTGCTCAACATGACAACCGCCTGTCGGAAGCTGAAACCCGAATCGACCAAGTGAACAATAGGGTTGACAACGTAATGTCTGACATGAAGAAATCACTTGACGAACTCAAACTTGGGGAGGGAACTACAGCTTCCGTAGTAGCTACTACACCTTCGCTACGTGGGTTCAAAGTGCCACCGTTCGACGGGACTTCTTCCTGGTCAGCCTACAAAATCCAGTTCGAGGCTGTTATGAAGGCGAACGGCTGGAATAAAAGTCAGGCCATGACTGCTCTCACACTAGGCCTGCGCGACCAGGCCTTAACAGTTCTGGAAGCTCTCGGTGAGGAAGTGACTTATGAGCAACTCCTTGAGGCATTGGAGGCGAGATATGGCGACGCTCACCTGGAACACGTCTTTCGTGCGCAGCTTAAAGATCGTGTGCAGCGCATCAACGAAAACCTGCAGCAGTGGGCTCTAGAGGTGGAGAAGCTGGTGCGAAAAGCATACCGGTCTGTACCTGCGCTCATTGAAGGTAATCTGGTGCAGACATTCATCGACGGCATCCGCGACCTGGAAGTCAGAGCTGCTGTGAGGCTCGGGCACCACGAGACGCTTAAGGACGCCTTGGCCCATGCACTGGAGGTAGAAGCCGTGCGGCAGGATCATCGTTCCCATCGCGTCAGGGAGATTGCAGCAGTTACAGTTCGCGACCGCAACAGAGGATACAGTCCTAGGTGCTATGGCTCTGGGGAAAAGGGCCATCTTCGATCCAGCTGCCCTAAGCGAACCCTAGAAAGGGAAATTGAACGATCTCAGGAGGGTAGTGCGGCCAACAGCACCGCCCAGCAGCGGCAGGGAAACGAGTAAAAGCCAGAACTGCGGGGCGGGTGCTGGCTGATGTTAAAAGAGCCCCAAGGATCTCGATCTCACAAACCCATGATGGGAACAGCCTAATCATAAAGGGCGAGATCAACGGAATGCCGTGTAAGATGACCATAGACACTGGAGCCTCTCGTACGGTTGTTAGTTCCCAACTTATAAGTCAGTTCCTTGGGGACTCCGCATACAACCGAGAACGCATTAATTAGGTAACAGCCACCGGTCAGCGTATATCCGTCCGTGGAGAGAAGGAGATGGAGTTGAAGCTAGGCAACGTGATCTACCTGCATAATGTCATCGTGGCTGATATAATGGACGACTGCATCCTAGGCTTAGACTTTATGAGGAATAATTGTTGCGAGATCGACATTAAGCAAGGTGTTTTGAAATGTGGACAGGAGGAACTTTTTATGGAAGGTGCGTTACCAGGGAACGTGTACAGCATCAAGAAGATTGTTCTTCCGCCGAGATCGGAAACGATTGTTCCGGTTAGTCTTCCTCGAAACGCTGGGCAAGCTCACCGTTGTGTACTTGTGGAAAGGGTAAACAATAACCTTCAATGGAAAATAGCTCGAACCTTGGTCAGGACCACTGACATCTCAGGAGTACATGTGCTGAACCTTTGCGACCGGGAACAGATTATAGAAAAGGGTACACTGGTTGGTACTTGTGAGGAAGTGGATTGGTTACGTCAGTGCCAATATATATCGAGTGGGACCCCCAGCAAGGATTCAGAAACGAGAGTGACCACACTTTTGGAAGACTGTCGCAGTGTTCTGTCCCCGAACGAATTGGTCAAGGCGAAGAAGTTGTTACTCGAGTACGCCGATGTATTCTCATCAAACGATGCTGACATAGGAAAGACTGGTTTAGTTCAACACAAAATAAACACAGGTGAAGAGTTGCCTATCCGTCAGCGGCCAAGACGATTGCCGGTAGCACGTGAAAATGAAGTGGAAACCATGATTGAGGGAATGGTGAGTGATGGTGTTATTGAACCTTCATCTAGTCCATGGTGTTCACCCGTGGTACTGGTAAAGAAGAAGGATGGTAGCTTGCGGTTTTGTGTTGACTACCGCCGTCTAAACGACGTTACTAAGAAGAATAGCTATCCCTGGCCGAGAATTGACGACACGCTGGACATGCTTACAGGAGTGTGGTTTAGCACGCTGGACCTAAAAAGTGGCTACTGGCAAGTTGAAATTGACCCTAAGGACAAGGAGAAAACTGCGTTCTCGACGGGAAAGGGTCTGTGGCAATTTAAAGTAATGCCGTTTGGGTTGTGCAATGATCCAGCAACGTTTGAAAGGCTGATGGAACTTGTACTTACCGGGCTAATTGGCGATGCCTCTCTGGTCTACTTGGATGACATCATCATCGTGGGCCGTACGTTTGAGGAACACCTTCAAAACCTGGAACGCGTGCTCATGAACATTAAGAGTGCCAACCTCAAGTTGAGCCCGAAGAAATGTTCACTATTCAAACGGCAAGTCAACTTTTTGGGGTATGTAGTGTCGGAAGAAGGTATCCGCACGGATCCAGAGAAAATCGCAGCTGTAAAGGATGGCAGCGGTTCCAAAAGACAAGACGCAGGTTAGAGCATTTTTGGGTTTGTGCTCCTATTACCGACGTTTTGTGAAGAACTTTGCAGATATAGCCAAACCTCTGCATAAGCTAACCGAGGAGAAGCGACATTTATGCTGGGATGAAAGTTGTAACATCGCATTCCAGGAGCTCAAGGACCGTCTGTGCAAAACACCTATTTTGGGATACCCTGATGCAAGCAAAGAATTTATAGTTGACACAGACGCAAGTGACATAGGACTTGGCGGTGTGTTGTCTCAACGTAATGGTGACCAAGAGGTCGTGATAGCGTACTTCAGCAAGTCGTTGTCAAAACCGGAAAGGAACTACTGTGTCACAAGACGCGAATTGCTAGCTGTGGTAAAGTCGTTGCAACATTTTAGCAAATATCTTCTGGGACGAAAATTTCACTTACGAACTGACCATGCTGCACTAAAATGGCTATTGCAGTTTAAAAACCCAGAAGGACAAGTTGCGAGGTGGATTGAACTACTGCAGGAATACGACTTTGAGATCGAACATCGCATCGGGAAATCTCATGGC